AAAAAAAAAAAAAAAAGAATATTACACATTGGGCTGGGGATACAGCTCAGCGGCATAGCACTTCCCTGGAAAGCACAAGGTCCTGAGTTTCATCCCAGGTACCAAAAAAAAAGAGAAATACTATACATAGTCAACTTTACCTTTCAAAATTAACTTTGAAAATGTTTGGTCATCTTAAACCACTGTAATGGAAAAGAGAAGAACTTGGGGGAAAGAGATTGTTCTTTAATAGAAGACATTGTGCGTGGATATATATTTTCTTCATCAAAGTTAAATAATGAGGCTGGGCATGGTGGTACATGCCTGTAATCCCAGCATTCAGGAGTCTGGGCCAGGAGGATTGCCCCAAGTTCAAGGCCAGCCTCAGGTACATAATGAGTTCAAGGCCAGCACAAACTACATAGCGAGACCCTGTCTCAAAAAAAGATATTCAGAAAAGACACTTCCTCAGACGTCCTCCCTTCTCTCAGTTGTTTCACCTAGCTCATGACCTCAACTGTAAGAACACCCTAACAGGGGCCGGGGATTTAGCTTAGTGGTTCTGCCACCTGCCTTGCAAGCGCAAGGACCCGAGTTCGATCCCTAGTACCAAAAAAAAAAAAAAAGAACACCCTAACAGTCTATGTTAATTAATACTGGATCATCACCCTGCTATGAGAGTTCACTGTTGTCCTTGCCCTGGCTTCCTCCTTGCCTCCCCCCTTCCTCCTCCCCATCCCCCCTGGATAAATCAAAGGGAGCAAGCAGACTTTTTAGCTTTGGACTAAGCAGCCATGCAGTGTGACAGGGTTCTAGGCCTTACCATGAAGATCTCATCATACATCAGCACTACTTTTTCCTTTAGTGGTTTTTTGGAGGCTGAAGATTTCCGGAGCAAACCTCCCCGTTTTTCTACCTGGGCCATGGTTAGACAATCTGTGAAAAAACGGTCACATTTTAGGGCAGTGAAAAGAATCTACAGAGTATCTGTAGATACTGGTGGAAACAAGTCATTATCCATTTGTCCAAACCCACAAATACACAACACAGAGAGAGCACCCTAATGGAAACGTGAGCAGAAATACTTCTCACTAGGAAAAAAAAAATGATAAACAACCATGCTATAGATCTTCAGGTTTTTTTGTTTTTGTTTTTGATTTTTTTTTTTTTTGGTATTCAAGATCGAACTCGGGACCTTGAGCTTTCGAGGCAGGCGGTGGAACCACTGAGCTAAATCCCCAGCCCCATGCTATAGATCTTGTGCATCTGTCCAACACCCCCTCCTTGGACTAGGTAATGTCAAGGTTTAAATCATGCTTTGGCCCACAGCACAACCCATTTTACATCCCTAAAGTGTGCCAGCAGATAAGGCTTAAAGCAGATCCAAACTAAACAGAGAAGTGTAACTCGTTCCATCTGTATCAGGGCTGGCCATATATCTGAGGTTGATAGAAGGAGGGCTGCAAAGCACACACTGCCCAGGACTGGTGGTGAAGTTAAATTTCAAGTATTGATCGAGCACAGGACCATTAAGGCAGGAAGTGTGCTGCAGACTGATATGCTTATTGATTTCCCCAAAGTAAGTAGGTCCTCGTCACCACAAAGTACTTGGCCTTCACAGGCTCATAAATCACACTGCACTTGACTGTCTTTAAAAATTCCTCTAGAGGGGCCCGGGGATTTAGCTCAGGGGTTTCGCTGCCTGCTGCGCAAGCACAAGGACCCGGTACCCAAAAAAAAATAAAAATTCCTCTAGAGGGCTGGGGATTTAGCTCAGTGGCACTGTGCCTGCCTGGCAAGCACAAGGTCCTGAGTTCCATCCCCGGTACCAAAAAAAAAAAATTCCTCTAGAACAAGACCCAAGCTAGGAAATACCAGTGAAAAAGCCAAAAATTAAATTTGATTTCAAAGTAACTGAATACTACACTACTTTCAAGTTTAATCTTACATTTTTGCAACCTTACTTCAGATCAAGCTTCAGTACACCTTTCAATTCTATATAAAAGCAGTTCTGGGCCGGGGATTTAGCTCAGTGGCACCGCCCCTGCCCTGCAAGCTCAATGTTCTGAATTCGATTTTGGCGGGGGCAGTTCCATGAATTAAGCCCAGATTTCCCAACCTTGCTTCAAGGAATCCCCCCACCATGTGAGAACTGGAACTCTCACGTGTCTCCACTAAGGATTTACACATGTTCCCTCATCTCCCAGATGCCCTCACTTACTAACAAGGCTCCCCTCTCTCTTAAATCCTAAACTGTAGATGTGAAATATAAGTTCATTCAATGGAAACTATGGAACTAAGGAGGACCCAGATTTTACCTCCACACAAATCTTAAAGCAGCAGAACTAATTTTGTCCATGACTCCTGGAAAATATTACCTTTCAAAGCAAAATCATATTTTTAAGGAAGCGATATATTCAAAGTATAAAAGTTTCTATGTTAGATGTCATCCCTCTAATACAGCCAAAAAAGGAGATTCACCTTTAAGCACACCACAAAGCACAAAATTTTCCCTGACTGGATATTAAATATGGGGTTTTTTTTGGTTTTTTTTTTGGTTTTTTGAGACAGGTTCTTACTAAGTAGTTCAGGCTGGCCTTGAATTCACTATGTAGCCCTGGGGCAAGCACCACCACACGCAACGTATTGTTTCTAATATAAGTATCTGGCTCATGGTAAGTGCTCAGCAGAAATTGTTCATTGGCCAATTCTGAAATAAACTGGGGGAAAATCCTCAAGAGAGACCCAGTTGTGGTGGCACACACATGTAATCCCAGCCCTCAGGAGGATGAGGCAGGAGGATCACTGTGTGTTCAAAGCCAGCCTGAGCTATATAGCAAGATTCTGTCATAGGCCCTAAATCTGACCTAAAATTTTAGTAAGGCCACCGGGGATGTAGCTCAGTGGCACTTCACCTGCCTCTCAAGCACAAGGTCCTGAGTTTGATCCCTGGTACCAAAAAAAAAAAAAGTTAAAATTTTAACAAGTCCTATCTCTACTGATTTTTCACTAAGCCTTCAAATTCTATTATGGCATAGAGAAAATTGAAGGAAAAAAATAACTGGAAAAAAGAGAAAGATGACTCTTTCAAACAATTTACATTATAGAGTATACATCATGCTTTTCCATTCAAAACATTCACGTGTCCTTAAAATGGGTTGTCAAGAGAAAGATGTTCTTATTCAAAGAAAATAAATTGGAAAGCAAGAGGATCCTATAAACATAAATCCAAAGCAGGGCAGTGCTCAGCATAGCAGCTATAGTATAGACCTTGCACGTGCTCTGCCTCAGCCATTGATGAGCAGGCACAGCAAGACCACGAGCTCCAGAGTGTGAAGAACAGAGGTTTACAAACATCTTCCTCTGAGGATTTATAATTCGGTTACAGCTAATCAATGCCCAACCCAAATCTAATAAACTCTATTTCACAATCAATACTTTCTAATAAGCAAACAGCAACAGGAGAGGAGGGAAAAACAATTCCAATACAAACTACCAAATTTCCTAAGAAATTCAATTCTTTTCATCACTTTCCTTCCATTTGGAGCAGGGGGAAATTCGGCCACGGGCCTCAGCTCATCACTCTCTGTCATCACCGCGGGCAGCTGGAACTCACCACCTCGAGGGCTCGCGTGCACGCGCCTGGAAGGCCCCGCACAGCCCCGCGGCTCCCGCACCCACCCGCACCACCGGGGCACAGAACAGCAAGCAGCGCTCCGGGGAGTCCAGACCGCTTGAGAAAGCTCTCCGTGTCCAGAATCTAAACCTGTCCTCCTAAATTTGCAAAAAAAATACCCTACTGGTAGAGCAGGAAATTGCAGCACAGGGTAACTAACGTGAAGGGAATCTGTTTCCATCCTGCCAGTGCTTTCTCTCACAACCCTTCCCCACACCAGCTGAGGAAGGAGCTGCAAGGCACACGGAGCAACCAACGACAGAACGGAAGCAAGAGCAAAGATCTCCCAGACTGCCAGGCAAGGCGGACTGAGCCACTGTGCTCCTCCGCTTCCTCACAGTTAAAAGGGGACTGGGGCCAGCGTGGTGGCACACAACTGTATCCCAACTCTGAGAAGCTGAGGCAGAAGGATCACAAATTCAAGCCCAGCCAACTTAGCAAGACCCAATATCAAAATAAAGAAAGGGCTGGGGATGTAGCTCGGTATGAAGCCCCTGGGTTCAACACTCAGTAGCGGAAAGAAAAGAGAGCGAAAAAGCAACGGGGGGGGGGGAGGAAGGGGGGGCGGGGAGAGACAAGCCCGGCATGGTGGTGCTCCCCGGCATGGTGGTGCTCCTCCGTAATCCCAACACTCAGGAGGCTGAGGCAGGAGGATCAACAGTTGAAGGCCAGCCTGGACTACATAGCAAGACCCTGTTTCAAAACAACTAACCCTGAATGTGGTGGTGCATGCCTGTAATCCCAGCATTTGGGAGGCTGAGGAAGGAGGATTGCTGAGTCCAAGGCCAGACTGAACTACATACTGAGATCCTGCTTGAAAACAAACAAACAAAAAACAACAACAAATCTGGGTGGATAGAAGTGCAAAGAAAATGATCTGGAACCAAGGAGAGGGTAAGAAGCAGTCCCTGGCTGTACTAGTACTCCTCTTGATCCTGGGTTTTAAACCCTGCAAAGAAGCAAACAAGCAGAAGCCCAGCAACACACAGAAACCTCGCCTTCGGCTCTACAGATTCTCAGAATCAAGATACAAAGTACAAAAGAAAATCAGACAAGGGCAGGGGATGGAGCTCAGCGGCACCGCACCTGCCTTGCAAGCACAAGGTCCTGAGTTCAATCCCCGGTACCAAAAAACAAAAAAAGAGAAAAGAAAATCAGGCGAACTTCAGTACTAATTTCACCAACTATCAAATTTAGGAACAGGGGTGTGGGAACAGTGGGAAAGTGTTTGCCTAGCATGTACATGTACAAAATCCCATCAATTGGGGAAAAAAGAAGCAAGATAGATCATGTACAAATTCACTATGATGAATGTGATCATTATGTATATCTAAAGTGTACCAATGAAATTTATTTTAAAAATCCCCTCAACTAAATGGTAAATCAATGAAGCCCCCCTCCTCAACTGGGGATACAACCCAAGGGCCCTACATCCTCAACCCTTTATTCTTTTCTAACACAGGATCTCCCCAAGTTGCTAAACTAAATTACTCAGGCTGGGCTCAAACTTGCAATCCTGCCACAGCCTCCCAAGTAGCTTGAGGTATAATTCTTTTTCCTTTTTTAATTGGTAAGTTTTAGATACATATAATGGTAACATTCATCATAGGGAATTTGTATTTGTACATGGATATCTTGATTCTTTTTTTCCCATCCCCTCCCCTCCCTTCAACTCCTTTTCCCTTTCCTTATATACAAAAGCTTTCCTTTTTCCTTTGACTTTTTTTCTTGTTCCTTCCTTCCTTTCCTCCTTGCCCCTCCCTTGTTCCCCTTCTCATTTGAACATTTTCTTCCCACTTCCCAATATTACACATTTCAGTCCTTATTTCCACTTTTGGTTTCTCATATCAGAGAAACAATGCGGTATTTAAACATGTGTGTCTGATTTATATCACTTAAGAGTATGGTCTCAAGGTGCGTCCATTTCACTAGAAATGTCTCAAGCTCATCCTTATTTATAGCAGAGTAGTACTTCATTGTATAAAAAAACCACATCTTTATCCATTTGTCAGTTGATGGGCATTTGGGCTGTTTCCAAGATTTAGCTATTACAAACTGTGCTGCTATAAATACGGATGTGCATATATCAGTGTGGTATGATGCTTCTAATTCCTTTGGGAAGATATCAGGAAGAGGGACAACTGGGTCAAATGGAACCTCTAGTTTTAGTTTTTTGAGGAATCTCCACACTAAGTTCCACAGTGGTTGCACCAGTCCACACTCCCACCACCAAATCCCCACAGTCCCTCCAGCATTTGTT